ATACCGAAGAGCTGGGAACTCACCATCGGCAAAAACATGGGTTGATCACTCGCCTCTTACTTAAGTCTTGGATTCTATGCTATCGGTGGCCACGGACCGCGCGGACCGCTGTACCACTCATTGTCCAATCGGACAATCAGAGGCGCTCTTGGACCTGGTGTTCTCTCCACGAGAGCCGAAGGCCGGCTGGCTCGGAGCCGAAGGCTTGAGAAAAGAATCTGTTGGATTTGGCCAAACATCAGACGACTTTCTTGTCTGAAGTTCCCGGCATGTCAAGTCGTGGTGCGGCTCTCTTTGGGTGTCAAATTTGACATATTTCCTCGTTTTCCGCAAAGGACAAATGAGCAGAACCGATACTGTAAAACAAATTTGGCCAATACTCTGGGCGATATCGATGTAGACAAACAAATCAACGTTGAGACTGCTCAAACGCACTTTTTGTCACAAGCACTGCTCTTGACACGTCGATACAGGAAAGCGAGGAAGACCAGGCGTGTCTCGGTGTGTGGGGTTTGATGCCGATGCTGCGGCAATCATAACTGGCATTGCTTTGCTTTCGAACTGGAGCCCAACCGGTTTTCATTCTTTCCAAGAACTATTTCTTCCTTGTAAGTGTGAATGATCGCAAGCTATGGGTTAAGAGTAAATGAACCAATCTTGATCGCATGTTATTCACTTGGGTGACTGAATGTCGACCACTATGACTACACCTAACTGTAGTGCCATGCATGTGTGGGCGAATGGCAAAGATCAGCAAGCACCTCCTTCGTTTCACCTCACAGGCCGAGTACGAGGAGACGAAAGCAGAGTTTGATACGCTCTGTGAAAGAGCAAACTTAATTTACAAGGCCACCATGCGTTCGTATCGATTTGAGAAGTTGCTGCTGTTCAGCACGATCGCATGGTGTTGGAAAATCCCCTTCGAAGGGTTTATATAACACTTTGAGACCAGGTAAAGTGTCAAGAGGGCCCAGGACTTTGATTGGCAGGACAAATTCCACATTGATAGGCATCATGTTGCAACCACATTTCAAAAGGGCATTTGTAAGTGCGCCCAAACTTTGCACAACTGGCTCTGCCCAAAACTGTGACCAGCAACACGCCCAGGTGCATGAAGAACGAGCTGAGCAGCGCATGTTGCTTGACTGATGAACACATCACCCCAGAGCAACACCGGAGCGTGAGTCAGAGTTTCACGGTCAGCTTTCTTGATATTGATATAGACGGATGATGGAGGGATTTCAGAAAGAGCTTCATGGTCGTGGTTTCCAAGTTGAAAGTTGCTGAAGACATACTTTTGTCGTTGATGGACTAGAGTACAATGTGGTAGCAAATCTAGAGTGGATCACAAGACCACATGTGTTTGGGAACCCTGTAGCTATGTTGTAGCCGAGGTGGCGCGCGATTCAGCAGTTGCCAGAAGACTTGTACAACGAGGCGCTGCAAAGGGCGACCAGACCGCGCTGCCAGACTTCTAGCCATGCTTCGTGGGTCGAGTAGAAGATGTTTCACCCTCTTCGTAGTCTGTCCGCCATGATGAAGCAATTATATACTGCTTGCATATGCTTGCATACTAATCAAACGATTCCAAGCGATTCAGCTTGCATAGGCTGTGGCTTCAAAGCCTGAGAAAGTTCCAGAGGAGCATCTAGGCCGAATGGGTCTCTGACCCCACGGAGCATCTATGACATACATATTTAATATTTAGTCATATTTAAATATCAACGACACGAAACCAAATGTCAACGAGAGCCACCCGAAGTGAGTTCCTTGTGCCAAGCCGAGGCTCCTTTTTCACAACCGCTATAGCGGGGAGATCTTTCGAATCTTGGCCCTGAGATTTTGCTGGGGAGTCCGAGTCTCGTGACGAGGGACTCTCTCGGAAAAAGCTATGGCAATTCTGGCCCTTTGTTTACTGCCGATGATTTGCCAAGTTGAACGAATCCCAAGCTGTTTGATTTGGTTTCAGGAAGCCTCTCAGAGTTCGAGCAGCGGAAGTTGCAGCAAGCTCAGACACAAGATTTTCCTGAATTGATCACTGTGATCACTCTGAGTTCTTTTTTTGGTGAGATGTCAGGTTCATGTCTTGCACTAGTAGCTTACAGCGAAAAAGTACAATATTCCGGAAGAGTGATCTGGGCGGAAAAATGGAGGGGACAAACGGAAGGGACGATCCCTTTAAAGTTGCCTTATTGACTTATTGAAGGAGCCCTTCCTTTCCCTTCCCTTCCTTCCCCTTCCCTTCCTTCCCCTTCCCCTTCCCTTCCTTCCCCTTCCCCTTCCCCT